TCCCAGAAAACTCCTGACTTCCGTCGCAGAAGTCGGAGACTGCCACTCCATGACGGCCTCGATCTTGGCTGGATCGACCTGAATACCCTGGGCTGATACCACATGTCCCAGGAACCCAATCTCCTGTAACCAAAAGCTGCACTTGCTGATCTTAGCGTACAGCCGGTTCTCTCTAAGCCTCCACAATATCTTCCGCAGATGCTCCTCATGCGTCTGCAGATCCGATGAGTAGATGAGAAGGTCATCGATGAAGATAATGACAAACTCATCTAGATAGTCCACGAACACACGGTTCATAAGCTGTATGAAAACAACATGCGCGTTCGTGAGCCCGAAAGGCATAACTACGAACTCGAAGTGTCCATATCTCGTCCGGAACGTCGTCTTCTGCACGTCATCCTCCTTGACCCGAATCTGATGATATCCGGATCGCAAATCTACCTTCGAGAATCACTGGGCTCCCTGTAGCTGGTCCAGTAACTCATCAATCCTCGGTAACGGGTACCGATTCTTGATGGTTTCCTGGTTGAGCCCTCGGTAATCGATAATCGATGTACAAGCGCATACTTCCGTCCTTTTTCTTCGCGAAGAGTACCGGTGCTCCCCACAGTGAGACGCTAGGGCGAATGAAGCCCTGCTCCACCAACTCGTTCAACTGCTTCTTCAGCTCGTCCATCTCCGTAGGTGCCATCCGGTACGGAGCCTTTGAGATAGGCTCGGTACCTGGTAACACGTCTATACTGAAGTTAACCTCTCGGTTGGGTGGTAATCCCGGTAGATCATCGGGAACCACATCTGAAAATTCTTGGGCAACGGGGGTATCCTCCAGTCTCCTTTCCGATTCCTGTGTAGCTGTAATGTCTACCAGGAAGGCTTCGTTGCCGTTCATGATCATCTTCTTTTCGAACCTTTGGCTTGAACTTAAGGGGGTCCTCTGCTAACGCCAATATAGATGGTGAGCGAGGTAAGTTCCTCCCCCCACTTTGTCATAAACGTCCACTTGGGTGGGTTGGTGTTTATTCCTTTAGGTACTGCTATAGAGCTTCTTAGGGATTTCGGAATTAGTTCCCTAATTCCAATCCCATAGTTTAGGCATTGGACTTAATTGTAGAAATCGCTGATCTCCATTTAAGCATATAATGGTGACATTCTAAATGTGCCACGTTACATTCACTAAGCCTTCGACGACCCCAGCTCGCATCATCAATGTACAGGCCTCGGCAAAAGAGGATTTCCTTCGGACATGGTTTAAAAACATTTTCGATGAAAATCATTAGGTAATGAGCACGATTCCTTCCCAGGGAAAGAACGTGGCTCTGATACCAAAAGTTGTGACACCCGTAACCCGTGTACAGTATACGGGCTGTGCCACATGGACGATATAAAATAAAATAATAATTTGCGGAAGCAAAAATACGAAATCCAAAAACATTTTTCAACTAATAGAGTAAGCAGCGGAAAATACAACAGGCGATCAATATCGCAAAATAACACATGTCCGAATAGTTATAATTTAACCGTACAAAATGTGGGAAATACAAGTCCCGTAACCCAAAATGTAAATCCCGTACATGATGCTGCCTCTCTCAGGTCGTCGTCTGCCGGATGCGCTAGGCGTAATCCTCGTGATCTGAAAAATATAAACCACGAGGGCTAAGCACAACTGCTTAGTGAGTAGCCCGGGTTGAACCCGGTAAACCCGTTCTCAGCGAGAACGGTGTTAATTCAATAATTCACAACCAACAACAACAATGATATACATATATAATCACATCACATCAGTCACAAATATGTCAAACACAATCATACCCATATGACATCACATCATAGGGTTAGCCAAAGGTCCTAGTCATATCAATATGACTAGAAGCGTCTCACACACGCCCGTCACTCGCGTGACGTTGGCCATCGCATCACATGCGACTACACGCGTCTCCTGCGCCTGTCACTCGCGTGACCTCCGATGTCAAGTCCATGACACAACGGAAATACAAAACATACCCGTATGGAGTCCACATAGGGTCCAGTCATAACCCTAGTCAAGTCCATGACTAGGGGCGTCTCGCACGCCCGTCAAGTCCATGACGTTGGCCGTGTCAAGTCCATGACACAATAAACACAACACCCGTATAGAGTCCACCATAGGGTTCTGCCATAGCCCTAGTCAAGTCCATGACTAGGGGCGTCCGCACGCCCGTCAAGTCCATGACGTTGGCCGTCGTGTCGCACACGACTATATCACAACCACAATCATGCTGCACTCGTCGCACGAGTGAGCTACAAACATGGCAATCAACGTGCATATCTTCCCAATACAATCACGCGTATCGCGGTATTCGGTCCCGACCGAGATACCGATTAACGCCATGCAAACTACCCAGAATAATCATGCAACGAGTCACTCCAATCGTTGTATCGCACATCTCACGCACGCGGAATTCGAAAATCATCCGAAAAAGGGGTTTCGTACCCTAGAACGGTCGGTCCAGGGTGTGGAACGGTCGTTCCAGGGGTCCCATGCTGTCCCGGGGCTCTCGGGACAATTTTTGGAGTCTGGAACGCAGACCGTCCGTTCTGGGAAGTCAGAACGCCCGTTCTGGACTTCCAGAACGTCCGGTCCAGTAGACCGTCCGTTCCAGCCCCGTTCTCGCGAAAACAGCTTTCTGGTCCGACTTCGTTTGGCCATATCTCCCTCATTTCTCAACCAAATTCAGTTCCGTTTGTTGCTAAATGTTCATTGAAGTGTCCTCTATCTAATCCAAGCAACAAACCATCGAAATAACACAATCACATCGATGAAAACGAGCTCACACAGATGGAACTCGAGCCACTCACCTCTGTTTTACTCAGATCTGGTTTGGCCGGCTTTCGTGGCGTTTTCCGGTATGTTCCTCACCGGAAACCTCTCCTAGACACCCTTGGGATGTCCCTCCTTGCTTCCCCGAGCTTCCCTGGCCCTGGCTCTCCTTCTTTCTCCCCCTTTCCCTCTCTTTTCCTCTCTTTCTCTTTTCTTCTTCTTTTGGCCGAGAATGGCTGTCTCCCAGCTTTTGGGGGTGTTTTTAGCCGCGTGGGGCAGGCGACATGGGCTCGAACCCAGGCCCATGGTCAAGCCTGCAACGCCCTGAGTGGATTGGTCGGAGATTTGACGCCGGTGGGCCCTGGGAACGCAGAGGAATACGCGTCCCAAGGGAGCAAGTTGGCCACTTGCGTTCTGCCCAACAGACCGTCCGTTCTGGGCCTGGAACGGACGGTCTGGGCTCAATTTTGGCCCAGCTCCTAGCTCGTTCGTGGTCCGTCCGTTCCGCCTTAAGCAGTCCGTCCGTTCTACCTTGTCTGGTCCGTCCGTTCTGATATTTCTGGTCCGTTCCGACTGACTTCGATTGCTCCGTTCTCACTCGTTTCTTACCCGAATCGCGCACCGTTTGTTTCTACACCTTCCTTAGAACGTCCTCTTTCATGTCCAATCAATAGATTATTGGAAACTCATATTTACAAGATGAGGTACAACTCGAAACGTCCGTACCTCGAATAACTTGTGAATTCCGAATTTCCAAATTCTACTCAATTTTCGTTTGCTCATAACTTCCTTGTTTCTCAGTCAAATCGAATGTCGTTTTCTTCTAGATCTTCATTGAAATATTCTCTATATTTTTACCTTGTTTTCCTCTTTTTATTCCCGAAAATAATTTAAATAATTTATACGGGAATCGGGGTATTACAAATCCTCCCCCCTTAAAAAGAATTCGTCCTTGTTTCTCAGTCAAATCAAAAGAGTGCTTGGAAAACATGGAAGAAAAGGAGCTACGAATTCTGGTCATTGTGCAATATTATAATTGCCTTGTTTTTAGTTTTCTATGTTTTCAGCAAACTCTTTTATTTTTCTTAGTTTTTCAATGTTTCTTTTCCTTATAAAAATGGAGCATCTATCATGTAAAACTCAGATTATTGAATTGAGAGGTTTCTTCTTATGTTCTTGAGTACTAACTCTAAACTTCGTAAGGTTTGAGGTAGTGTTCTTTTGACTTATCAAACACTTTTACCACCAGGTGTTTGTGGCGTCTTCGCTCGTTTCAAAGGTTCTCTAACCGGGTCTGGATTGGGTTTAGGGCGTTCTTGTGACTGGAACAAGTCCTAGGTTCGGTTCACGTGTCGTTAGTGGGTTTTTGAACATCCATCTACTATCCTTCTTACCTAATTCTGAGATTCGTCGATCCGGGTTCGTATCATTTGGTATTAGAGCCTCGTTTCTCTATATTAGGTTTTATCTATATCTATTTATCTTTTCCATTTCATTTTACATTTTCATCATCTTTGTTTCTAATCATTTCTCTTTGTTTTTGAAGGTTTAATAGAAAAACGAAAAAAAAAATCAGCAAAAAAAAAAGAAGAGAGATACAAGTGAAAAAAGAAAAAAAAAGAGCTTAAAAAAAAGAGAGAAGAAAAAAAAGTTGATTTTGTCTTGCAAAAAAAGAAGAGAAAAAAAACGTGTTTTCTTACATTGAATATTGTCTTCGTTTACACTTGCACGGTTAATCTAACGGGGTTGGGTTGTGGAAATAGTGTGCGATTTGTTAATTGAATACTTTTTCTTTGACCTATTGAGTTTGTTGTTAGTGCAAACCAGACATACAAGAAGAAACAGGAGAGCTTGAGTGACACAAAATTGAGCGAAACACTATTCTAGTGGTTGTGAGGTTCTCTCATCATCCTTTTCCTTGTTTCTTTCTGTTTTATCTAACGTTTGATTGTTTTGCAAGGTACAACAATGAGTGACGAAACAAACACTAGTACTGTTCGTGAATCGGGTGATCATGCCGGCTTGAATCGATTGCAACTCGAAGCTATACAGCAGACCTTGGCACAACAAATCGAACGACTTGCCGAACGATTTGAGGATAGGTTTGCACAGCTAGAGATTGGTAGAGCCGCCCCACCACAAGCTCAACGTCATAGACAAAGAGATGAGCAATACGTGGAAGAAGTAGAAATCAATTCTGATGAGGATCCCATTCCCGCGCCAAGACAACGACGACATGCAAGACAAGCAAGGGATCGTTTGGATGATGACCTTGGTAACATCCGCATGGAGATTCCTTCTTTCAATGGAATGAATGATGCTGAAGCTTATCTTGAATGGGAACGAAAGGTGGAGATGGTGTTTGAATGCCATCAATACTCCGAAAGAAAGAAGGTAAAGCTTGCATCGGCTAAATTCGAAAATTATGCACTAATATGGTGGGATCAGATGGTTGAGACTAGGAGGCGCATGGAGGAACTTCCAATCAACACATGGGAAGCTATGAAGCAAGTGATGAGGCGACGTTTTGTGCCTTCATACTACCATCGAGAAGTTTGTCGGAAACTGCGACAATTGACACAAGGGAGTCGTAGCGTCGAAGAATACTATAAGGAGATGGAGATACTAAAGATTCGTGCTCATATTGACGAGGGTCAAGAAGCTGCCACAGAACGGTTTCTTGGGGGATTGAACCAAGAAATTCAAAACCGTGTTGAAACACATCACTACGAGGGGTTGGAAGATCTCTTGCATCTTTCCATCAAAGTCGAGCGGCAACTCAAGGAGAAGGGTAAAATACCGCAACGATCCGATTCGACATCATACTCTCAGTCAAATCATTGGAAGCAAGAGAAGCCGAATACTACTTCCAAATCCGAGCCCAAATCGGAATCGCTAAAACCCAAGGCACAAGGTACTGGCAATACCTCTCAAACACGTAACCGTGATATCACATGCTTTCGATGTCTGGGCAGGGGTCATTATGCTAGAGATTGCGCAAACAAACGCGTGATGGTTATGCGAAATGGGGAGTATGAAACTGAATCCGAAAGTGGAGATGGACAAGAGAATAGTCATGAGTTTTCTTCGGACTCAGATGACTATGAGGAGCAGCCCGCTCCTAGAGGTGATCTGTTGGTTGCAAGGCGTGCCTTGAATTTGCAAACCAAAGTGGAGGCTATCGAGCAACGAGAGAATATCTTTTACACTCGCGGGTTTATTCAGGAGAAGCTTTGTAGTGTGATAATTGATGGAGGAAGCTGTACCAATGTAGCAAGTGAGTCGATGGTTACAAAATTGGGATTGCTTACCACTCGGCATCCTAAGCCATACAAGCTCCAATGGTTGAACGATAGCGGAGAAACAAAGGTACATCGGCAAGTGAAGGTACCTTTCTCTATTGGTGACTATGATGATGAAGTGTTATGCGACGTAGTACCCATGCAAGCAGGGCATTTGCTACTTGGGCGTCCATGGCAGTTTGATAGACGGGCCAAACATGATGGTTACACCAACCGATATTCATTTGAAAACAAGGGCAAGAGGATTCGATTGTTGCCTCTCACACCGAAAGAGGTATACGAAGATCAAGTTACACTACTCAAAAGAGAAAAAGCGTTGAATACGAGTGACCATGAGATAGATCACTTAAAACTTGGTGAGGTCTTGAGAAAACCCCAGAAAAAAGCCTGTGAGAGAAATCCCGAGAGGACAAACACTCTTCTTTTCACGAGAGCTAGAGAGATTAAGAAAGCTATGCTTTCGAACCGGCCGATGATTTTACTCATGTATAAGGAGGCCTTATTTGCTAATGAACTAATCTCTTCTTTGCCTAGTGGTGTTTGTAAGTTGTTACAGGATTACGAGGATGTCTTTCCGGAAGAGATCCCGAATGGTCTACCACCCTTGCGAGGAATTGAGCACCAGATTGACTTCGTACCCGGTGCTAGCCTTCCAAACAAACCAGCGTACCGTACTAACCCAGATGAAACAAAGGAGCTTCAACGACAAGTG